GATCCAGGAAACATGAAGTAGCATTGTTCGAGATGTGGATTTAATCCTTTACTGCACAGGCATCAATGAATAGTGCATACTCCTATTTTAAAGTACTTGTAGGTGTTTGCTTTACAGAGAAATCTGTTACACTGACTGTTATGTCTATGCTACTTCTCAATGTAGTTCAGAGCAAAAGTCAGTTTTTATTGCAATGTTGCATTTCAGGAAATTGAAACTTACACTCTTAAATAATGTCCCATCTAATGTAAAAAAACATGTATGTTGCATGTCACATTCACTATGACATTACATTAGACTGTTTGGGATACAGCATTGGCTTTACACGAAATTGTGTGTATGTACAACAGTCATTAAAGTAGTGCAGACTCACTTTTCCCAATCCCATGACTCACAACACGCTAGCCAGTGCTAAACACTTCAACATGTCATAAGGTCCTACAATTCAATATTTCTCCACAACTTTCTTTGCCTGCAGTGGTTGAATGTAAAGAACCCAAGATTGAAAATGGTAAATGGAAGGTGGGTTCTGGGCCTCCACATAAATACTCATCCACGGTGATGCTCGAGTGCGAGTCTGGATACAGTATAATAGGAGAATCTACCCAGAGATGTGACAAAAATGGTCGGTGGTCACCTGGACTACCACAATGTAAACGTAAGTCTTGCATACATATACCTATTCAGATTTCATTGGCTTGGCTGTGATAATGCATTATGTACTTAAAGGCATTTGGCCGTCACTGAACTCAACACTTTATGATAAATCCATAAAATGAAATACAAGTCTTGTCTACCTGTGAAATGTATTTCTCAATGCTTGTGTATAAATTCTGTGCAGTGAAAAAGCATTTGCCCCCTTCCTGAATTCTTATGTTTTTGAATATTTCCCTCACTTAAATCTTTTAAGACCATCAAACAACTTTAAATATTAGACAAAGATAACCCAAGTAGACATAAAATGCCGTTTTTAAATGATGATTTTATGTCTTAAGGGAAAAAAGCTATCCAAACTTACCTGGCTTGATGTGAAAAAGTAATTGTTAAATCATGAATTAATTGTGGCTAATGACATTTTTTGGAAAACTGAGTTCAATTTTCACTGACCACACCCAAGCCTGACTACCTCCAGACCTGTTCAATCAAGAAATCACCTAAACAAAACCTGTCTGACAAAATGAAGTCCGCCAAAAGATCTCAAAAAGCTGCAACAAAATGCAGTGAGCCAAAGATATTCAAGAAGAGATGAGAAACAAAGTAATTGACATTTATCAGTCTAGAAAGGGTTACAAAGCCATTTCTAAAGTTTTCGGGCTCCATGGAACCACAGTGAGAGCCATTATCCACAAATGGAGAAAACATAGAACAGTGGCGAACCTTCCCAGGAGTCACTGGCTGACCAAAATGATCCCAAGAGCACAGCGGCGACTCATCCAGGAGGTCACAAAGGAACCCAGGACAACATCTAAAGAACTGTAGGCCTCCTTCGTCTCATGACTCAACAGTAAGGAAGAGATCTGGCAAAAATGCCATCCGTGGCAGAGTTCCAAGGCGAAAAGCACTGCTGACCAAAAAGAACACAAAGTCTCGTCTTACTTTTGCAAACAAACATCTAAATGATCCCCAAGACGTCTGGGAGAATATTCTATGGACTAACAAGATGAAAGCTGAACCTTTTGAAAGGTGTGTGTCTCGTTACATCTGGTGTAAAAGTAACACAGCATTTCAGAAAAAGAACATCATAGCAACAGTCAAACATGGTGGTGGTAGTGGGATGGACTGGGGCTGCTCAGCTGCTTCAGGAGCTGGACGACTTGCTGTGATTGATGGAACCATGAATTCTGCTCTCTACCAGAAAATCCTGAAGGAGAACGTTCGGCCATCAGTTTAAGCTGAAGCGCACTTGGGTTCTGCAGCAGGACAACGATCCAAAACACACCAGCAAGTCGACTTCTGAATGGCTTACAAAATGAAGGTTTTGGAGTGGCCTAGTCAAAGTCCAGACTTTAATCTAATTGAAATGCTGTGGCATGACCTTAAAAAGGCAGCTCATGCTCGAAAACCCTCCAGTGTTGCTGAATTAAAACAATTCTGCAAAGAAGAGCGGGCCAATATATCTCCACAGAGATGTGAAAGACCAGTTATAGAGAACGCTTGATTTCAGTTGTTGCTGCTGAGGGTGGTCCAACCAGTTACTAGGTTTAGGGGGCAATTAATTTTTCACACAGGGCCAGGTAGCTTTGAATAGTTTTTTTCCTTAGAAAACAAAATCATCATTTTAAAAACTGCATTTAGTGTTTCCATGGGCTATCTTTGTCAGATATTTACATTTGTTTGATGGTCTTAAACATTTAAGTGGAGAAAATATGCAAAAAAATAAGAATTTGAGAAGGGGGCAAATACTCTTTCACAGCACTGTATGTTCTGATACTAGAAAGAGAAGAGCTGAAGTAGTATTTGAAGTGTGTTTGTTATAGAAGCAATGATTTCCCCACAGGCTACAGTGCAGTAACAGTTGCTCATGCATGGATTTGAATATTGGTTGCTAATTTTTCCTCAATATTTGATGACACTCTAGTTGACATTACTATGTGAAATACAGATATTTTGGAATTTATCTTTATTGCTTCAGCAGCCTCTGGCCCAAATTGTACATATGGTTAGGTTAAAATAACCTGTTATGTTAGATTACTTTTTGCTCTCATCTCTTTTCTGTTCTTATTTTTTTAATTTCTTTTACAGACAGTGGTGGTGGTGGTGGTGGTGATGATGCTGGTGGTGGTGGTCGTGGTGGTGGTGACACCATTAGCGGAGGTGCTATAGCTGCCATAGGTAAGATTCACCTTAATCCTTTGTTGAAGAAATGTACCCATTGTCCTCATGTGACATTTGCTGTAGTAGGGTGTTTATTAGTATTCCAGTATACGATGGGCTTACCAACACAGAGCGAGTCTGTGAAGGTAAGCCGACCCAGAATATTTGCAGAGTTACACATTTTATAGGGTATGTCAGAGGGTAGGGAGGGGCTGCATGCAAATACCAAAGTAAATTGTCAGTTAGTATATAGTTGCTAATCAATGACAGGAGGTAAGAGAAGAATTGACAAAAGGTGGTTGAATCGGGGGTCTGGTGATCAAGCGATGTGACAGACAACAAATGCTAGGGTAGGTGTAGGTAGGGTAGGGGTGTCTTTAGCAAAAGATGTGGTATTTTCTTCATCACCTTTAACAATGTATTAAGAATGTAACATCCACCCAAATGAGATTATGATGTCTTTACAAGAACAGCATTGTTACATTACAGTAGATGATGGAGTTTCTGAGGGGGCATCATATTCTTATATGGGTTAAGAAATAAGACCTAAGTGACACACTCGTACATTGGAACATACGAATGTCACTTTACCAGCCTTTATTTGTTTATTTTTGTTGTGGAATGAACAGATAGGTGACCAATTAGAGGAAAAAAACAACCTTACTTGACAAGATGTTGGGCCAAAACAGCCTCACTGCACCTTGGCATTGAACCTTCAAGTCTCTGAGCTTCTACCAGAACAACATTATTATTTCAAACTTTCCCTCAGGTTGTGTTTTGTTGGTGGTGGTGGAGAGTATAGTTGTACAAGCAAGTCCAAAATCTCCTGAATGTATTAAACTGGGTCGAGATCTGGTGACTATGAAGGCTATAGTATATGATTTTATGCCCTGTGGATAAAGGCATTGTCATCCTGGAGGAGACCGCTCCCATCATGATAGAAATATTTCCCCATAGGATAAAGACGATCACTCAGAACAAGTCTGTACTGTTTAACAATGACTCTTCCTCCAGATCACGCCAACAAAATGCCCCCACAGCACGACATAGCGGCATGATGCCCTTAATGTCGGGGTCAATGATTCAGGTTTAGCCTTTCATTCGTCACCTGTTTCTACACATAAGGCTTAAACAGTAATTTCATAATAGCAGTGTTTTAGCTGCAATAATGTTACAAAAGTATGTTTTTAGGCATTACCAATCTAACCTTGACATGGCAGGATGGTGTCAGACATTTATTGTGACTACATTTGTGCGTTTCTTGGTCATTCCTGTTTTTTTTTTTTGTTTTTTTTTTAAATGTAAGTCATTATAATAATACATGTGTTTTTTTTTTGTTTGTTTGTTTTTATCTCATCTAAGTAATTGCACTTGTTGGTGCATCTGCTGCTGGCCTTGGTTATCTATACTTCCGGAAAAAGAAACGGTAATATGTTGTTTTATTCAGATGTGCAGACTAACCCTTGCAATCACTTAATCTCTATTATGGCCTCTCAGACCAGCCAATCACAATGTTTGACACGATGATTCCAACTTTTTGTGTCTCGGTGTACTGAGTCGGTGTTTTCAAGCTGCCCAAACTTTCTGCTATGCATGTTGAAATTCTTTCCATTTGAATGCTTCTTGGCTAATGTAATCTACCACAGACCGTCACTGAAATAACCACTGAAACCTGTTGAGGATACAGAGCCTACAGGTCACTTAGGGTGAAGAACCCTGCCTCATATGTGTGTTATGGTAGTTTGACTGACGTGTTGATAAGTGGAGGTCAACCATATTCACCATGTAGATAATAAATCTTGTAGTATTCATTATTTGCACAAGTATTAATGATTGTGCAGTAGCAAGATGATCTAAAAATTAAATTCTTGGCTATGAATACAAATTAACATCATGAATATATTTTATTATATTCTATTACTTGCTTATTAGATACTTTAATGTGTCAGTTGTTACGTGCACATTTCCATGCCAGCTGTCAGAAACAGAGTGAACTTTCATAGCACACCCTCTCCCACGGTAGGGGTCATTGGTAAAAGATTCTTAGTTCCTGCTGTGGTTGGTTTATTCTTGCATCTGCTTCAAAGGAAGTACTGGTAATACACATTTCGGAAAGTCCTCTTAGGAAACACATTTGTTTCCTCTTGCGTCAGACTCGTTCTTGTGTGATACCTATCTTGCAATATTGAGTTTTCCACTTAATACTTGCTGTTGCACAGCCTCTAATATAGTTGTGCAATGACGATTTGACTTGTTACACGTTCTGGGCTCTTGAGGGTTTAATTGCCTTTTAAGCCCAAAATGTCTGCCATAAAGTAGTAGCAAAAAGGTGACAGCGATGAGTCAGTGAAATATGATAAAATGCGACAAGTGGAGCATTTTGTGGTGGTATGTTCGTAAAGGTCCTCCAACAGATTAGTCTTTACATTTTTATTATGTTGACATCGTTCACGTAGCATGTGGTAGTCTTATCAGTTCAAACTTTAGAACACAAGGCAAATTGAAGTGAATTTATAAGAGCTATTTAAACTTCTGTTGGAGTGTAATGAACTCCAGATACAAAAAAACAGTCTGTTTTGTCCTTGCTGATGTTGCATAGACCCATTTGTTTCTGCTGTCTGGAATAAACGGGTAGTCCTTTGCATCTCAACTTAACACCCACACAAATGTGGATATTTCAGCTGTGAGAGTTGCACTGATAGCTGCAAGCAGAGCTGATGTGTGTGTATGTGTGGTATTCTTTGTTGGTGAGTGGTATGTAGTCTTGTGGGCGCTTCTCTGGGCTTTCTCTTCTAGCTTCTTGTCTGCCTTGTTATGCATTAGTAATATTGTTGACCAGTCATTACTGGATTACAGCTCTCGGAGAGAAAATACTGACAATGAGGCTACAAAGGAGGGAGAGGATGTAGCACTCTCGGTAAGATGATGGATCCTTGAGCACACTTGCAATCATTAATGTCAAATGAACACATACTATGATTAGCAAGTGTAATGTGATAATGCCGATACCATCATATTATTCCATACTGTATGTTCTTGATATATTTGAATGTTCAAGATGCCTGTTGTTGTTTTTTTCCTCCCTGTTCTCCTCAGCTCTGCTATCTATCCTGTTGGACAGCTGCCTGCACAACATCTCTCACTAATATATAAATCTGACCAACTTTTCCTTTTTCTATTCCTTTTACAGACCTTTAGGGAATTTTACATTTTGACTTAAAAAAAATTTTTAAATTACTTTTCTTTTCTTTTTTTCCCCTGTAGTAACAGCTGCAGTCCTGTTGGTACAACATTACTGGCTGTAAAATCCACTGCATAAGAAGAGGCATGTCCCTGGACCAATCTCTGAATGAATCTCCCTGTGCAGTGCGGACGGCAAGAATTTCTAAAAAATCTCTTTAAATTTGTTTCTGAATGCCAGTACTCAGAAACTTTTGCATATTTATCCCAATCCTTTGAGTTTCTGCTGTAAGTGGATTTTCAGAATAGGTCATAATAATAACCACTTCTTGTTCTCCAAACAGTTTATCTATTCTGGACATGATGAAGGAGGTTCTTGTTTATTAGAGAAGGTTAATTGCCACATTGACTTTGAACTTTTTGCACTATAAAACAGAGCACATCTCAGCTTGGCCATTGCCTTAAGCCTGTAAAATCACTGTTCATCGTTGGAAATAAATTAAGTTAGAACAAAAAAAAAAAAGAAGAAAAAAACAGTTATAGTTTGATGCTTAATAACTAAGTGGATACCCTTACATCTGAAAGTCGTAGCTGCAAGTGAAATGGTTGATGCCCCAGCAAAGTTTTGTATGTATAGAAAAGTGGCTCCTCGATGACAAACCAGTCCTTCAGTCTTAAAGACAAAGCTTCCATCTTTATAGAGGAGACTTTGGGGTCTGTAAAACAGTCCCTAGCATAGTGCCTGAACGTATGGTATATGTAATATGCCTTAATGCAAAAAAAGTGTTTCAGTGTGTTGTGTGTAAACTGCGTATTTGAGTTACACAAATGTTAATTAACTTGTTTGTGTCAAATAAAGACTCAATTCTGAGCCTACTTTAAACTAAAGTTTATACCAAAAAATTACCCATGGTTAATGGTGGGACTCTGGTTTGTGCTGTGTAGTTCAAATTCAGTAATGGTACATGTCCACAGGGGCTCTTTTCCAAGAATTAAATATGTGAAGGAGATGCGACTAGGCAATGTCATGATAGGTGATTGACAGGTAGCCAGTGCAGGCTGCATCTGATTGGACACATACTGCACTGCCCTTGGATTTCAAACAGGCTGCTGGATGCCCTTGATTTGCATAAAGTAGCTTAGATTTTAACTAAATGCAAATGAGGAGGGGGAAACGTGACGCTACCAGAATGCATTGCACAGCTGCTTACATAGACAACGAACGAGAAGCACTGAAATGATGGCGCCTGTTGATATGTACCATAAGCTGTCCTTGGAACAAAATATCTTTTATTTTTAATAACATAAATTCAGGTTTTATTCCCCCCTAAATTATTGTTCTTGTAGATATCTCTTGTACAGTGGATTATTCTTTTTATCATTTGTTCACCACAAACTGTCCAGGAGATGAGAACGAATATCCAGAACATCAGGACACAGATATGGTGTGTGTGTCGTTACATAAAGTTGTGAAGAATGTAACTTCTGACAATTTTGCACTTGCTTTGCTTTTTTGCTTTCTCTTTATTTATTTATTAGAATAAAAAAATGTCACATCGAGCCCCACAAATGTCACTGTGAGAGTTTTATTACGGGTTACATTTGTGTTCCCTGGCAACACTCAGAAAACCCCAGAAACTCTGCCAATAGTATCAAAAAGGGCAGATGATGTGACACTTTACATGATGCCTTTATTACTCATTGTGCATCTTAAAAGGCCAGTTTCCAACAGTATCCAGCTGCTAGTTGTGGCTGTGATGGCGAAGCTTTGGCCAGATATATGGTTATTGTGAGGACTTTTGCTCAATCTGTGGTGCTATGGATATGTCCAGCTGTTACTCTCTGGTGCTTCTATGACAGACGTGTTCATTTGAGGGTAATGCAACGTTCAGCCAGCAAAACCATCGCTGCACCCACCCTACTGTTGTATGCAGTCAGCGTTACAAGCATTAAAAAATGACTGTCACAGCCATATTAATTACTAAGGCTAGAGCAACAGCTGTAAATAATATTGTATCATAGTACGGCTCATACAGTCGTAATTACAGAGAGTCGGTGCACCCTCAGCAGCACCTGTAGCCATTATTACAATTATGGCTGTGGCGTTCATTTTTACTGGTTAAAACGCCGACTACATGCAGCAGTAATGTAGTGTGTAGTTGTGCTGACAGAAGCTACTCTTACTGAAGCCCTGTATAAACAAATGCATCTGTCATAGCAGCATCGCAGGTTCCAACAACTGGACATATCCATGGCACCACAGGCTGAACTACAGCAATAACTGAAGTCAAAACAGTAACCATATATCCAGCTGCACCTGTGCTCACATGCAGCAGCTGGATACTGTAGGAGACTGGCCTTTCAAAAGGGATAATTAGTAATAAATGCACCACGTGTCACATGGTCTATCTTTTCCAGAGTGTTTCTGTAAACTGATGGCGTATTATCACGAGACCTGCTCAACAAAATGTTTGTATATATCAGAAAGAACGAAAAGTGTACTTTGAAGGAAAGCAAAGCTATTGTGAGGGAATGCAAATCAATACAATCTCGCTGTTACCCATGCAGGGCTCTGTAGCGTCAGAATATCTACGTTTTTGTATTGTTTTCAAGCAGACATGATTGTGTTTATACTGGCACTAAGTTTTGTAATTGGTTAATGAAATAAAATAAGAGAAACAAACAACAAAGACTCACCTGTGTGTTTACAATATACTGTTAATGTACATATAGGGGAGACTGGGGATGATTGTAACGCTTTTTGTTTGAGCTAGACATCTCAAATTTTGACACGTGGTACCCACGTTTGTCTGCTATAAATGGCATACACTTGGACTTCTACTACACCATCACAAATTATGTAAATTATTGTCAAATACAAAGAGGTATGCTGCTACAACCTACCCCAGTACCAAGGTGAGTTGTAACACTACTTGAGGCTGGGATGTAAGGATTACATTATTATGCTTAACCCTCAGGGGATATCGAGGACATTTTTGTTTGCTCAATTTATGCTATAACTTTTTTTGGTGTGGCTCTGTATGAAATGATTTTTTGTAGGAAGGTTTGTTTCATGAAAAATCATAAAATTCACATTTTTTCCTAGGTAACGATACACCAGGGGCAAATTTACGACCCTTTGAGGATATTTCGAGGACAAAAATGTCCTCTCACAAAAACTGCTATAAAAACATAACAGATTAATATTTGTTTCTACTTTTTTTGCTCAAAACTTTAAATCAACTTCTGTCCTAATCAAAAATACCAAACATCCAAATATTTTTATTTATTTAACCATTTAAATGCCCATTTGATTACATATGTCACTGTTTTTATGAAAAGAAAAATTGATAAAATGAGTTATTTACCATATAACACCTGTTGGAGGGCTGGGGATTTTTTCTTTTTCAAAGATCGGGCCTACATATACATCAGATTAGTAATAGAATTAATTTTTATGCATTTTTTATTTTTTTATTTTTTGGTAGTGGCAGATTCATAGTTTACTACCCTTTGGGGATATTAGTGGACAAAAATGTCCTCTCCCAAAAACTGCTATCAAAACAACAGAATAATGTTTTTTTTCTACTTCTTTTGCTCAAAGCTTTCAGTCAACTTCTGCTCTGATCAGAAATGCCAAACATTCAGTTATTTCTATAATTTTAACCCTTTAAATGCCATTTTGATTACATGATGTCACAGCTTTTATGAAAAAACACACAAGTTGTTTTCCATATAATAAATGTTGGAGGAATGAATTTTTTTTTTTCAAAGATTAGGCCAAAATATACACGAGATAAGTAATAGAATTGATTTTGATGCATTGTTATTTTTTTGTAGTCACAGATTCTTACTTTACTACACTTTGACGATACGATAGGACAAAAATGTCCCATTGACTCCCATTATGACCACAATTTTTAAACGCCCAGTCATTACACAATATAATCATGCAAACTTTCATTTCAGGGTTTCATTTGGAAAAATAGTAAAAAAATAAATAAATAAATTTTCTGTTTGCCATGAGATGGGACAATTTTTCCACTGTAAGTCTATGCATGTTCTGTATGAGTGTGTGTGAGTGCTGTTTCTTTGAAGTGAGAGACTGACCTTTGCGTTACCTGATTTACCTTAGCTTTATGTCTGATCACGTCTTTATTGTACTTTCACACACAACTATACATGTACTCTCAAAATTAAAACAAAAAACAAAAAACATGAGCCCTCTTCTCGCTGCACTTCAGAGAGCTCACAGTGAAGTAAACCAAAGCAATGCCCAGGTGCATAAAGAGTGAGTTTATGCACCTGGGCATTGCGGAAGCCGGAGAACCCGGAGAGAACCCACGCTGCACGGGAAGAACATGGAGACTCCACGCAGAAAGATCCCAGGCATCCTCACGGGACGCGAACTGGCAACTTTCTTGCTGCGAGGCAACAGAGCTAACCACCGAGCCACCGTGCAGCATTATTGTTAGTATGACAAACTAAACTTCCGGCGCTGTTACGGACGGCTGCCTGCCAGAGTCGCTCCTCGTTGTCTTGTCTCCTTAAGTACTTTTACCATTCATTTCTATTTCTTCTATTTTTTTCTTTTAGCTTTATAGTTTTTTGATAGTTCTTTGCAAGTGAAGACATGCTGCTTCACTCACTATTTATCGTTTTTCTGGCGTTTGGTGTACTATTCTCCAGTCGGATCCCGGTCCTGGCAGAGCAGCGCCAGGGCCCCATTGTTTACACAAGGGACCAGCTAATGGAGATCCTACACTGTGGCCCGGCTGGGGTAAGACATGATATCCCCAAAGAACTGCGAAGGAAATACCGGGGCTGTAGAGCCGGGAGGAGATGGTTGAAAAAGAAGAGGAGATACCGGCCGTATCTCCCTTCCATTGTTATGGGGAACGTAAGATCGCTGGCGAATAAAATG